GGCGCGTTATTGTGCACTTTTTCTTAAGTCTGTGATAAGCTCCTTCTATTAGACTATAGATCTCGTCACATAAAATAGATTTGTGGACTCGCAGCCAGGGAGAGCCACGCTCCTGAGCTGCGGAAATGGCTCATTTCTCCCCTTCTTCCTCGAGTAACTGATGGTCATGAATTTTTCACCCAAATGTCGCCACTAAAGATGTCACCAGCCTCCTACCCCTGGAGATTTTATGATCTGGCCCTAATGGGGTGGGGATGGGGGGACAGGGAGAGGGGACGGCTATGTCCTGGAACCAGAAAGAGAACTCTGAATGTAGAGGAGTGGGGGCTCAGTGGGCATAGGCTGGGCTTTCGATGCTGGAGACAGTAGAGCTCCATTTCTTGAGCAGTTACCGTGTGGCTGACCGGAGCCAAGCGCTCTATACCCACTACCTTGTTTCATCTTTGCAACAACCTGGCAAAAGAGGTGGCAGCTGAGTTAGGCCTCAGAGAGGTTGAGTAACTTGCCTAAGGTCACAAAGTTTATTAAAGCCCCAGAACCACAGGCAAACCCAGCTCCCAAGGGTTCCAGAGCCTGGGCCATTGATTGCTGCATTTCACTGCCACTGTTACAGACTCGGGACCTGGGGCAGGCCGTCTGCCTCCTCTTCTCTGGCTCAGGAACTCGATGAGCAAATAAGACAACCTATGGAACAGCAAGGCTGAGAAGTAAGACTTACACCTGCATTCTCTCCTAGGTGGGGAAATAAACTCTTTTGCAAGGACCAGAGTCAAAGTCACATTCATTGGAGAAACAGCCTTTCCTCCTGCAGTGCTAAACTCTGAGAAACTGAGATGCTGCCTGTGGTAAGGTGTGTTTTCCTTTTGGGTAACTAGTTAGGGTGATATTCATAGCTGTAGCCAGAGAGGGGATGGAATCGGGACTGGAAACATTCACTGTCTTAGTGCTCGGGGGACCACAGGCAGACTCCCCCATGGTGGGCGTAGGAGGGCTTTATTGGCTTTTGGCCAACACCTGCAGCATCAGAAGGAGGAGCCCCTGACTCTTCACCCTCTGGGAAGGGCTAGGTTGCCAGATTGAAAGAGAGGGTTCCGGGAAACAGAAAGAAGAGAGAGCTGGGTGTGGGGAGGGAGGATGTCCTTGGGGTACAGCCCCCAAAGTTTCCAAAGTATCCTCATGTCCACTGTCTACTCAATACCTAATCCTTTGAGATAGGAAGTGTAGGCCAGGGCTACTTTCCCCATTTATCAGATGAGGACATCAGGGCTACATGTGGAGGTAGTAGAAAAGGCTGGAAGAGGAGGAGGGCTCTGTCCTCTGCACCAGGTAACCATATATAGTTCCCCCCACCTCGTCTCCTCTGTTTCATATCACCTGCTCAGAACCAGCTCCAGCAGATCTCTGGCTCTGCTGTGGGTCAAGCCCTGACCATTCCACGCCCTCTGGCCATGCTCTTCCAGGCCCCAGGCCCCAGGGCACTGACTGAGAAATCACGGTTATCGTAGGACGCCCCAGGGCAGGGAAGGGCACTGCCAAAACCTTTCCATAGCCTGAAAAGCTGGAGGTCTTGGTTCTAGTCCCTTCCCGCCCCTCCCCAACTCACCTCAGCTTCCTCCTCTGAAAGATGAAGGAAGGTTCTCCAACGAGGTGAGATCCCCTCACCTGCATCCTTTCTGTCTCAGTAGCAGCCAACACAGCAGTCCTTCATGACTGGTTGCCCATGAGGCTGACAGGGCCTGGGGATGGGAGGTGGGGATGTATCAGCTCGGCCCATGGAAAACTGGGGCAGGCCTGGTAGGCCAAAGCAAGGCATCCAGGAAGAAATTACAGTGGCCCTTCAGCTCTCCAGGGCAAGTGGAGGTCCAGGCCCTCAGCCACTTTGCAAAGCCCTCTCCCCAAGGGTGAGGGTACCCATCTGGGGGTCTGTGTGGAGCCTGTGGTGGCGGGGTTGGGGGGTGGTGGTGGGCAACATGGCTGAGGAATGGGAGCTATGCGAAGAAGGAGAAAAATCTAGCACCTAAAGGGAACTAGAAAATGTCCTGGATTGATTAACACTTTACAAGAATCTAACACTTTGCACGTGGCACTCCAGGCTGCAGCCAGATTATTGCCCTATAAATGAGTAAGAAGCATCTTGACTGATTCACGACCAGGAGGAATCAAGCCCCAGACAAGTAAACAGGCAATTACAATGCAGCCCAATAGCTCTAATAGGAGCTTTGAGAGAGGAGTGAGCTCAGGGTGCTTGCTGAGCAAGTTGCTAACTCTGCCCAGGGGCAAGAAGATGGCAGGAATACTTCCTGGAAGAGGGGACAACTCAGTTAATAACCATTAGAGGCACTTGGGCTGCAGTTCTGATGATACAGTGACTCACACCTTGAGGTGGGTCAGTTATGTGAAGGAGAGATAGACTGGTGGGGGGATCAAGCTCAGAATTGTTTGGAAGCTGAGAGTTTTAGCTTGAAAATACATTTTTAAATTACTTACCACACTCATGAGACGGTTCAATGGGACAGAAAGAAAGCCCAGAAACGTACCCCAAAATACACTGGAATTTAGTGTTGATAGAGGTGGCCTCTTATATCAGGCAGGTAAAGATGAACGTTTTAATAAATGGTGTCGGCACGACTGGGAAACAAGCTGGAGACCAATAAAGCTGGAGACCAGGACACCAGGACAAACTCCATATGGATCCAAAATTTAGATGTAGAAATTAAAACTGTAAGAGAATCAGGAAAGCATAAGTGAGTCCCTTTATAACTGTAGCATGGGGAAAGTCTTCCAACAATGACTTGAAATCCAAAAGCCAGAAAAGTAAAGATAATGAATTAAATTAATAACAGTAATAACGAACTTCTACACGATAAAGAGCACCATAAACAAGGTCAAAAGACAAACAGAGAGAAAACAGGGAGCAACTCGCATCGTAGCTAAAGGGCTAATCTCCCTAATATGCAAAGAGTTCCTAGAAAACAAAAAGAAAAAGACTAACGACCCAACAGAAAAGAAGGCGAAGGATTTGAACAGAGCATTCAGAGGAAAAGAAATCTAAGTGACCCTTAAACATAGAAAAAAGTACTCTACCTCATTCATATTAAGAGATATATGACTTAAAACTACACCAGAGTACCATTTCTTAGCTATCAGATAGGCAAAAATCCAAAAGTATGACAACACAGTCTGCTGGTAAGGCTGTTGTGTTGGGAAACAAGCACTCTCACATGTTGCTGGTGGGAATGAAAAAAAGTACAATCCGATGAAAGATGATTTAGTCATTTCTTATCACAGTTATAGACACATTTACCCTTTTTCCCGACAATGCCACTTCTGGGAATTTACTCGACAGATACGCCTCGAACACTTGAGAAATGAAGTATGTATAAGCTTATTCGTCGCAGCTATGTGTAATAAATAGCAAACACCTGGCAACAACTCATGTGTCTATCCAAAAGGACTAGTGAAATAAACGTTGGTATATCCACGTAATGGAATACTATACAGCTGTTGGAGGAGGAGGAGGAGGGAGAAGGGGAGGAGAGGGAGAGAGAGGCAGAGGAGGAAGAAGGAAGCTGCTCTCTACGTTCCGATATACAAAAATCTCCTGTATATATTATTAGGTCGGAACACGAAGAATAGAACAGCATATATATATGTAAATACATGTTGCTTTATGCAAGTACATAAAGAAATACTGGACGGATACACGAGAAACTAATTAAGAGTTTCTCTAGGGATCAGGGGATGGGGTGGCTGGGACATAAGTGGAAATGGGACTTCTGATGAATGCCTTCGGATAGCAATTTGGATTTTGAAGCACATAAATGTATTTCACATAAAACTTTGATATTAAAATAAACAACTTGCCATGTAAGTAAACATTGATGTTTATCAGGTATGCGTCTGGTGATCAGTTTATCCCTAAATACAAAGTTCTAGACTCATAGCGTCCTGTCTGTGCCCCTTCGCACACTCAGTTTGGGAGAGAGGGCTATAGCACTGGAGTCACTCACTGACAGGTTCTGAGCAGGGCAGACATATGGCAACCCAGGAAAGCTCACAGCCCCACTGACACCTGTAGGGCAAGGGGACTGTGGCTGGGGCCCTGGTGGCAGCTCTGGATCAAGATGAGACCTCCTCGGGGCCCAAGCTTCCACACCCACCATGTTCAATGTCCAAGCTCCCTAGAGGCAGCTTAGCACCCAGGTGCTGACTTCTCTGCAGGCTGCAGGATTCTCTGATTTGGGGAGAGAGGCTACTTCAGTAGGCTCTCAAGTGATCCCAGAGTCCAGAGACTGGGCTGGTTAGGCCCAAGGCTCTCAGCCGATATGATGGTAGGTGGCCAGGAGAGCAGCTCTGGGACCTACTGGGTATGTCCCTCTTCTCCCTCCCTTTCAAGATGAAGACCTCCTTCCAGCTGCAAACAAAGGATAGGCAGGGAAGAAGGGAGTCTTAGATGGTTCTCTATACCCTGCCTCCTCCAGGAAGCCTTCCCGGATCCATCGGAATGGTGGGATACCTCTTTGGACTCCCTCTGCTGGGCCACAACCTGTCCAGGGTATGCCACCCCATATCCTCCCTCTCAGCACTGGCCTGTTGGTCCCCTGACCTGGAGCATCCAGCCCCTCACCAATGTGAGGCTCTGGAGTACTTTGCAAATAGTAAAGGACTGTGCACCAGAGGAGGGACTGTCAGACGGTGAGTCCCCAACACAGGCCTGGGTTTTAAATGCTGTGTTTGCTTGCACCCCACCCAGCGGCTTGTACACACCTGTGCACAGAAGGCTGTAATTTTTCTTCATGAGTCATAGGTAGGATCACACCCAAGTTACCGGCACTCCGCTCCTTAGGGCGGGCTGGCCAGGCAGTCGCCTTTGTCTTCCAATTATGCTGTTTTTTATTGCTCTTTTAACCATAACAGAAACACCCAAAGGGGTAAGGTCTGGAGGGCAATTAATGACATACAGAAAAACCACAAAAAGCCACCAGATTTGGGCCCCATAGTATTAGGGCCCTGAGTCTGGACCCTGTGTCTGGGCCTCTAGTTAGGTATAAGGAGGCCGTGCGGAGTAGTGGCTAGTGAATGCATTCTGACATCCTGCATACTGAGTTCAGATCTTGGCTCTGATACTAGCCACTTTACCTCTCTGAGTCCCCATTTCTTTTTCTATATGATAATGCTGAGGGGATAACTAAGCCGACACTGTGAAACACTTGCAACCTGGTAGATATTCCATCGATACTGAGTCCTCGAAGGCCTTCGCACAGTTAGTGCTTTCAGTTTTATGGGCATATTTCTTCTCCCTCCAACTTCCTGTCATTTTCTACAGTCCCTAACACACTGCTATGCACATAGTAGGTGCACAGGGCAACAGAAAGAGCATGGACTTTGGAGTCCAGTTTTCATTCATTCCATAAATATCAACCAAATACTTAATGTGCCAGGTACTGGGGATCCAGAGACCCAATCTCTGCCCTCAAGGGCTCACCCTCCCTGACAGAGAGGAGATCCAGAGCAATAACAGGCGAGACAAGGCAGGTGGCAAGTACCACCATCAAGGCAAGCCGGAAGGTATGCCTAGGGTGATGCATGCCTGAGTCTGCGCCCTGGAGGAAGAGTTGTAGTGAGCCAGGAAGGGAGAGCCACATAAGGCAGAACAACATGTGCAAAGGTCCAGAGGCAAGACATAGTTGGAGGAGGTTTGGGGATGGCTGGAGCTCAGAAGGGAGCACAGGGCGAGATGAGGCCTGAGGAAATGCCTGAGGTAAGATCTGAAAAGGCCTTTTCACCCAGGCTAAGGACTTTGAGCTCAATCTAGTGGAAAGGAGGAGTCCCTGGAAAGATTTAAAGTGTTCTGATGCTCTGGTATTGAGGGTAGGGGAAATGCGAATTACAAGGCCAAGGGCGAAGGCAGAGACAGTTCAGAGGCTGCAGCAGTGATCCAGGAAAAAGATGGACAAAATCTGAATCTGGAGTAATTTTGAATCCCTCCTCAGCCTCTTACCAGCTGCGAGACCTTAGGCGAGTGATTTACATACTCCTGACCACAGTTCCTCATTGCTAAATTGCAGTAGTGATGCCTAGTTCCCAAGGTTGCAAGATTTAATAGGGATTAAAAGCGGCACTTTACCACACTGGTATAAATAAATAATTGAATAAATAAATAAATAGGGGAGAAAGGACAACTCTTCCATACACTAGAATGCCAATTAATACTGTAGGAAGGATGAAGGAAATGGAAAAGTCATCATTAGACAAACACCCTGGTAATAGTTGTTGTAAATGATATACACCAATGGCCATTAAAATTAATGAACAAACGTTTGAAGAGAAATAGCATCTGCCTGGTCTCAAAGTATCATTTTCCAGATATTTATTAACTAATAAGGGAAGAAGGACAGTAACTTAACAGGGAGAAATCTGGCCAACACATTGTTGCCAAGTGATCACAGCTAAGGCAATGTGAGACATATCACCATAATGCACCAGGAAGGACATAACACTGTTTTTGTAGCATTCTCACCCAAAATGCATAACCTCACTCCAATCCTGAGAAAACACTGGGCAAATTCAAATTGACCGGCATTCTTCAAAAGTGTCGAGGTTATGAAAGATGAAGGAAGACAAAGGAACTGTTAGCACTCAGAGTCGGGTAAGGAAAAGTGACGATGGAAAGCAGCGTGGGGTCCTGGGACTGAAAGAGGACAGGAGTGAAAATCAAGTGAAATGCGAGCAAGATCTGCTGTTTACTTAATAGTGTCGCACCAACGTTAGTTTCTTGCTTTTGATAATTGTACTGTGGTTATAGAAAATGCTGACTTTAGAGGAAGCTGGAAGAGGGATATATAGGAACTCCACAATTATTTTTGCAACTTTTTAGTAACTCTGCAATTAGCTTAAAATAAAAAAGTTTTTTTTTTTGTTTTTTGTTTTTTGTTTTTGGGTTTTTTTTTTTTTTTTTTTTTTTGAGGATTATATTAGTGGTTCTTAACCTTGGAGACACATTTTAATTAGCTAGAGATTTTTCATACTGATACCCACACCCCTCCTCAGACCAGTCGGACCAACATCTCTAGGGGAGGGACTCAGGCATGAGGAGTCTTTGAAAGTCCCCAGGCGATGACAATGGCAGTCCCAGGTAAAGGGTGCATTCTTTGTAAGTCACTTGGCCGATATTAAATCAATAAATCACCATTCCCCCACATAAATGAGTTAGTTCATCAACTGACACCTTTGCACATTCATCAAATATTGCTGACTACTTACTATGTGCAAGGCACAGCAAGGATGCAGTGGTGGGCAAGAAAGTCAAGATCCTTATATTCTAGTGGGGGAGATAATAAATATGTGAGATTATTACACGTGTGACAGAAATTTTAAAGGAAACAAGTGGATATGATAGAAAGTAACTGGAGAGCTGGGAGCTCCATTAGATGGAGCAGTTCAGGAGGGCATCCCTGAGGATATGTGTGACATTTAAGCTGACATTTAAACTGGAAGGATGGAGCCAGGAGAAGAGATTGGGGTGGGGGTGGGGGCACGTGATACAAAGAGAACAGCAAGTGCCAGAGTCCTGAGGCAGCCTTGCAACCATAGGGAGGAAGGGAGCCTGGGAGAGGCGCTGTAATGATGAGTCTGGATTTCATTTTAGGTGCAATGGAAAGACTTCAGTAAGGGTTTGAAAAGGATTAGGTGGGGGATGTTTTTTGACCTGATTTAGGA